CGTTCGAATTTCCCCAAGTTGATCTAAAACCCAAAGATGTTCGTAACCCTAATTTCCAATACTGAAAGACAACGGAAATCCAAAAGAAAACGAAATATAGGATTTACAACAAAATGCCGAAAAACGGAATGCTGAATGGAAATCAGAAACGCCGAATTTCAACATGATACTGATTCAACCCTAATTCGTGTAAAATCAGAAATCCGAAACTTAATCAATTATCGGATTAGTATGACTCAATCGGAACTCAAATAGACAGCATACCGGAAGAAAACAGAAATCCGGATTATAAGTCTGAATACCGAGTTGAACGGAAATGCCGAACTAAATAGAATACCGGAAAAAAAAAAAATAATAAAAAAAAAATTGCAACTTTGAACTTGATAGTAGTACAGCGCTGATTTGGAAGATTGAGAAGGCAATCTAATTCCTAACCAGACTTACCTTTGTGAGCAGATCCGTTATATGGTCTGCTCCGATACCAAAACTGTTACATACTCCAATGAGTATGGGCAGAACCAAGGATCAACCAATGTAGGATGAGCATATATGCAACGGAAGTCTGATGAACGGACTGACTCACATGAGCATATATGCAACGGAAGTCTGATGAACGGACTGACTCACATAGACTGACTCACAGTCCAAATGTAACCGAGATAGAATCTGATAGGTCACCGATATGGTAGTCCAAAATGTCATCCAACAAGATCAAAATGTCAAGGACCATAGGTCACCAATGTCGGGGATACAGAGTCCAAATGTAACCGGTGTCTGAACTGTGATGTCGCCAAGTATCAACCCCAACGATCTCCAAGTCTCCAATCCGGTAAGTACCACAGTCTCATACCACCGAAGTCCAACACTGACCTCTGTCCAACTAGTATAAGTCTCCAATCTGAAGAAGAAGAAGAAGAAGAAGAAGAAGAAGGAGCCGAGGAGGAGAGAGAGAGAGAGGGGACTGGCGATGGGAGGGAGGAGAGAAGCCTCCAACTCCCAGTACCTCAGGCGGCTATGGCCGCCAGTAACCCAGTCGCTGCTGCTGCTGCTCCGCTCGCTGCTGCTGCGCTAATCTGCGCTGCGCTGTTCCTCGCTGCTCCTGCGCTAATCTTAGCGCCAGCGCTGTATTGCGCTGTACCATACCGTACCGGTAGAATGCCGGTAGGTCGATGCTGGACTGAGGCTGGACCGGTTCTATATACCGGTGGGGCCGAGGCTGGCCTCAATGCTGCGAGGCCTTGCGGTGCCCTGAACCGTCCAGATGGACGGTTCAGCCCCAACCTGCGGGCAGCAGCCTCAAGAGCGCCGCCAGGCCCAAACGGTAATGTCGTTTGGGCCTGCCCGTCGGGTCTGGTCCAAGGTGAGGCCTTTATGGCCTGTAGTACCCCCAAGGTCGGGCCTTTAGGCCCTAATGTGTCCCTCTAGCCCTAAGTCGGGTCCGGTAGGACCCGTGTGGCGTCGAAGATGTAACACTCTCTCTCTCTCTCTCCCCACTATCCCAACCCCACTCTCTCTCTCTCTCTCGTCTCTCCGTCTCTCCGTCTCTCCCTCTCTCCCTCTCTCCCTCTCTCCCGTTCTCTCTCTCTCTCTCTCTGTGTGTGTGTGTGTGTGTGTGTGTGTGTGTGTGTGTGTCTCTCGTGCATGCTTGCGCATGCGCTCCGCTTTAGCCAGTGTGTGGTACCTATCAATGGCAACATTCTCTCTCTCTCTCTCTCTCTCTCTCTCTCTCTCACACACACACACACACACACACACACACACACACACACACACACACACACACACACACACACACACACACACACTCTTGTGAATAAATGAAGGAGTGTAGGAATGGACAAATGCATATCCAGTTCTGCTTTTGTGCAAGGCTCATTGAAGCGGATCTTATGGATGGATGCAAAGAGCTTTTCACGGGTATGCCTCTATGCCTCTATCTAACCATCCTTCCTATGTGTTAACTTACACATTTGCTTGCTTGCTTGCTTGCTTGCTTGCTTGATTGGAATCGTGAAGGATCAGGTTCAGAAAGGGTGCAATTATCACTGCAATAGAGAAGAAGATGGGAGGCACTCGTACTTCATTTGGCTTTGAATTAGGGCTCTGAAGTTCTGAAATTTGGAGGGTTACGAGTCAACTGGCAGAAGGGCGGGCTGGGGGGAGGGGGGTGGGAAAAAAAGAGAATTGAGGGGACGGGGGGGAAGGTGAGGAAGGAAGGAGGGAGGGGATAAAGGAACGGAGAACAGGAAGGGAGCAAAAGATGGCGGCAAATCCAAATACGTGGAATTCGCCATCATCAGAGTACACTACCGTGAGAGTGTCCAATGTTCCATACAATGCGCAAGCGAATGATGTCGTAGCCTTGTTTCAACGACATTTGCCGTCAGATGTTGTGCGGTGTGAGATAGTAACTAAGAAGGAGGGTTCTTCTACGGCGAAATCTACAGGGCGGGCGTGGGTGACCTTCAAGACAAGAAGGGCCGCCGACAGGGCCATTTCCTTGGCCGGCAGTCGGCTTCTGCAACTTAGGGGCCGAACTCTGCGCGTCGAGGCCTCTCAGCGTCATGCTGTAAGAGAGGCAAAGCATGAACCTGTGACCATCCCGACAACCACCGTCAGAGTAGGATCCCTCTTGAGGGAGGATGCGTTTGAGGTGGAGTGGTCGGTGCATGACCAGGGAGCGGAGATGTGCTTTGACTTTGAAAGCCACAAGCTTCTCCTCAGATTGCCAGCTAGGGCCACATGGATCAACGATGGGTCAGCTAAACTCTCCAGCTTCCTTAGGTCCATACGTCTGTTCGGTCGAGATGGACTGCAAGCACCCGAGGGAGGGGGAGGAGGAGGAGGAGGAGGAGGAGGAAGTGAGCATGCGGGCAAAACCAAGTACATGCAGGAACTGAAGTTAGAGTTCCGGTTTGGGGACTTGATCCGTGTTGACCGAATCGCGAAAGAAGACCGCTCTGCGGCCTTGGTACCCATGGTCATGTTTGAGTGCTGGATTCCCCCTTCTGTGTACGTACATCTAGAACGCGCAAAAGGTGGGCAAGATGGGGAGTGGGAGGAGGAGGAGGACATGGAGCTGAGCCCTTTTGTTTGGTGCAGCGACCCGCTCATGTACAATGACAGAAATAAGTCACTCGACGAGGATGTGAAGTGGACGAGGACTGTTGATCTGACGTCGAATGGGAGCATCGGGCGATGTCTGGTTTACCAGGTCATTTTCCCGGCGACTTTGGAGGCCCGGCGCCTCCTAGGCACTGCCTTGCAAAGACTCCAAGACTTCCTCCCCGCAAAAGATCATGCCTCGGGGAGGGAGGTCACAGTCTCCGTCGCGCGGAACGCGATGACGGGGTTCCGCGAACCCGGGGATGCCACTGCGCCCTCGGGCATCGTGACCACTCTGCCCACTCCTCCGGAAATCCCCTATGAAATCATGTTTGCAGTCAACCGTCTCGTCCACAATGACATCGTTTGCGCTCAGAACCTGTCGCACGAGTTTTATCGACTTTTGCATCCTTCCACAACACCAAAGGCGCGCGCTTTGGCCGCACTTCTGTCCATGTATGGTGCCGGGCAAGGCGAGGAGAGAATCTATGATCCCACAGCCTGGCTCAGAACAGAGCTGGAGCTCCTCTCGACTATCCGATTCCTGAGCGAAGAGGATCCCAACCCTGTGGGACAGCAACTGATGAACATCAGGCGTTTGATGGTGACACCAACAAAAATATATTGCGAAGGTCCTGAACTTGAAGTGTCTAATCGGGTTACACGCAGGTACCTACGGCTGGCTCGCATGTCACACCCACTCTGTCTGGCATGTCACACACTCGCCCTCCTTGCTGCCCCTCGCTCCGCCCTGGGTCTACCATACTTCATCAGGAAAGTCCCCACCAGTTGCCAGTCCAAAACCCATTTGTTGCACATCCATCGCACCCGCCACCCATACCCGCCACAGCCTTCACATTTTGTGACATGTCATTCATGTCACACGTCCCAAATTTGGCATTTCACAATTGTCACACGTCCCAAATTTTGCATTTCATACATGTCACACATGTCACACATGTCACACGTCATACATTTATCATACGTTTCGTGGCTGTCAAGCCTATGATATTCCTTGCACAGCTGACACTAGTCACACTTGTCACACTCATCGCACTCATCACACTTGTCACACTTGTTTCACTTATCAGACCTACTATGTCCCTTGCGCAGGCTCAGCATGCTGTCACACAACTGACACCTGTCACACTGGCCACACCTGTCAGACCTGTCACACCTGTCACACCTGTCACACCTGTTGCACCTGTCACACCTGTCACACCTGTCACACTTGTTATACTTTTCATACTTGGCACATTTGTCACAAGTGTCACACTTGTTACGCTTGTCAAACCTACCATGTCCCTTGCACACGTTCAGCATGCTGTCACACAGCTGACACCTGTCACACCTGTCACACCTGTCACACCTGTCACACCTGTCACACCTGTCACATCTGTCACACTTGTCACACTTACATGTTGAAGTCTGAACACCTCTCTCTGCCTGTCTGTCTGTCTGTCTGTCTCTGTCTCTGTCTGTCTGTCTGTCTGTCTGTCTGTCTGTCTGTCTGTCTCTCTCTCTCTCTCTCTCTCTGTCTCTGTGTCTCCCCCCTTTGCTGTACTGTAACTTGTTTTATGCATTAACCTCAGAGGGTTCTAACTTCAATGAATGCAGGTTGCCTCCCTCCCTCCCTCCCTCCCTCCCTCGCCCCCTCCCCCCCTCCCCCTCCCTCCCTCTCTCTCTCTATCTCTCTCCCCACCGCCCCCCCCCCCACTTTGCTTTACTGTGAGTTGTTTGAGGCATTAATCTTAGAGGGTTCTCCTTTCGATGCATGCAGGTTCCCTGGGAAATTGTCGCATTTTCTGAGGGTAACGTTTTGTGATGAGTCATTTCAGCGCATATCTGCCTGGGATCTTCAGTCCCAGCTCCCGGACCCGGACTTTATGAGCATG